TAAACCTTTTTCGCATTCTGTGCTCTCTTGTAACCGGTAAATTTGGTCACCATCTCATAAGCTGGTAACAAAATATTGCCCCGTGAAATATGCAATACAGGAATTCCCACAAATCTTCATAGCTGAATTGCTGAATATTTTCACTGCATTACTAACGTACCTAGAATCGCGGTGACAAGAAGTGGTAAGATTTTTTGGTAATAAAATTTTCCGGTCACAAAATCTTCGGTAACGTGCAAAATAGACCTGTTGGTGTGCACCAACTGGGGCTACCGCCCCAGTGATGTAGCCTTTGGAAAGGATAAGGTAACTAGAATTCCCTTTCTGTGTGGTAAACCTGGGGCTACCGCCCCAGTGATGTCTATTATTTATTAAATTAAATAAATTAAATTAAATTAAAGATTAAATAAATATTTGCCATGGAAAGGTTTATATTTGTAATGCTTACTGGGTTCCTGAGTACGGGAACACTCCTACTGCTTAGAGCCAGCCTTAGGAATTTTAACGTTTCCTAGCATTTTAAAAATTTTCTCTCGCGGTCCTTTCATTTGTTTATTTTGGTTTTCACTCAAACTAAAGACGTTTATTTCAGTCGAAACAATGGGTAGGTTCAGAAGGCGCAGCAGTTGAGCGCAACCGTTGCTTAAAAAATCAGTGATCGTTATGCGTCTTCTGAACGGCTTGATACATTAGCTGTCAAATTCAACTATCAAAAACATGTTGTCTCAAATGATCCGAAAAATATTACGATCATCTAACACGCAACTGTTCAGTTGATCAGAAGTATACAACAACGCGTTCAGAAGTTGCAATCGCAACAGTTACTGAGCTGTTGCGCCTTCTGAACGTGCCCAGTGGTATAATAATTACAGGTACCATAAGTCGAAACAACAAAATTTGAATGTACGTATGTAAATAAATAAATATAAACAATTGTTTTAATGAGCTCCTGCTCCCACGTTGAGACGCAGATTTTGGCATAGATTCAAAGATATTTTACCGTAAAGGACCGCACTTTTGCAAATAACGATGTTGTGCTTATGTTGGCAAATCTCTTTCTATAAGACCACCTGGATCTATTTTTTCCGTTTATACGTTAATTTGGGGAATTGGAGTAAACTGTACGTTGGCCTGTTTGCAGAGAAAAACGGTATTTGCGCAATCGCTAAAGTAGGCAATCATTTCTCCTTTTCTACCGTTATTAATTTTGTCCCATTTTGGATGAATACGAAATGCAAAAATGCTATTCCAAATTTGCAAGAGTTATAGGATGCATAGTTAGCAAATAAAGAGTTGCAAGAATCAACTCATGAATTCATGCCATAACTCGAGTGCAGCGCCGCTGTCGAGTTGAAACTAGTTGTGACGATCGTTAAGCAGTGGTTGGTAGTGTGACTGTGAGTTTCGTTTGTTCCCAGCAAACATCGCGGTTAGTTATCGATTAGAGAATGATGGGAGAACTAGCCACATTCTCCAATCTCAAACGTTAGAGATCGACTCGAAAAACTATCGAGAATCATAGCGATCTCAACAAAAATGGGACATAGTTCTCGACTCGAGGAAATTTTAATTCTCTAATCGAATTCTAATATTGATCTCTAATGGGATACGAATGTGAATTTCAAACTGCTGTTTATTAAATAAAACGCGTTGTTTATAAAATTTGTACTAAATGTATTTGCAATAAAATAATAATGAATTATTTGAAGTTAAAAATAATTTATGATTCATTAATTTGGAATATTTCTTATTTACATTTATTTGAATTTGCGTTGTTTCTCTAATCATTCTCGAATCGAATTCTAATGTAGTTCTTTAACTTCGTCATCGACTCGAGAACGATTAGAGAATTACCTTAGTTATCTTTCGACAATAAAATTTTCATTTAAAACGGCCTCGAGCTCAATATAAATTGTTGAATATAATTGTTATAAAGGCCAAAAAAATAACAAAAACAAATAACTTAAGGACAAGCACACCTAAAAAAGTTAAACATTCTAAACATAGCAAAAACCAACAATACCAACAACCACATGGTCAAGTGAATTGCAGCGGAATAGCTGCGCTTGATTGTGTTGGCATAACAAAAATGAAAATAGTGGAAAAAAGCAAACGATAATTTACAAGGCGTACTTAGCACGGTGTATAGGCAACTGGCTGAGTCAGTGGGATCGTCGGTTCGAATCCTACTGAAAGAAGTCTGATGAGGAAATGTGGTGATTTCCGAAATAGCTATCACTTCTACCATTTTTTCAAATTATTGTTGCTTTTCCACAATAAAATTTTCATTTAAAACGGCCTCGAGCTCAATATAAATTGTTTAATATAATTAGTCATCTAATGTAGAAATCGAAATTTCTCTAACATTAGAGACTGTGTTTGCTGGGTTTATGCGATGAATTAATAAGTTTACCCGCTAGTGAAAGACAAGGGGCACCGAAATTGCGCATAGGGAAACTGTGTATTTAGACATTATTTCGGTTTTCAACCGGAACTGTGCATGTATGCATTACTTCGTATTTTTTTCATATGCATTATATCGCTTTTAAATGGAAAGTATGCATATGCATAATTTCGGTATTTTCTCATATGCATTATTTCGGTTTTCAACCGAAACTGTGCATGTATGCATTACTTCGGGTTTTTCATATGCATTATTTCGGCTTTCAACCGAAACTGTGCATGCATGCATTATTTCGGTTTTCAACCGAAACTGTGCATGTATGCATACTTTCGTCTTTCACATATGCATTATTTCGGTTTTCATCCGAAACTAAGCATGTATGCATTACTTCGTCTTTCACATATGCATTATTTCGAGTTTGAACCGAAATTGTGCATGCATGCATTATTTCGGTTTTAGTTATATCCATTATTTCGGTTTTCTAACGAAAGTGTGCATATGGATAATTTCGCGTTTTCTAATATGAATTAATTACTTCTACTTAGTAAGGCTTTTAATCCGAAAAGCCGCCTACGCAGAGAGAAGTTCTGCGCAGAAATACTTCCGCCCTTCTTTTCCGGCAACACAGAAAGGAGAGTTCTACTTAGTAAGGGTTATAATCCCTAAGCGCGGCCGAAGGCCGCCTACGTAGAAAGAAGTTCTGCCCAAAAATACTTCCGTCCCCTCTTTTCCAGCAACACAGAAAGGAGAGTTCTACTTTGTAAGGAATATAATCCCTAAGCGCGGCCGAAGGCGGCCTACGCAGAAATAAGTTCTGCGCAAAAATACTTCCGGTCCCCTTTTCCGGCAACACAGAAAGGAGAATTCTACTTAGTAAGGGATATAATCTCTAAACGCGGCCGAAGGCCGCCTAAGCAGAGGGAAGTTCTACCCAAAAATACTTCCGTCGCCTCTTTTCCGGCAACACAGAAAGGAGAGTTCTACTTAGTAAGGGATATAATCCCTAAGCGCGGCCGAAGGCCGCCTACGCAGAGGGAAGTTCTGCCCAAAAATACTTTCGGTTCCCTTTTCCGGCAACACAGAAAAGAGAATTCTACTTAGTAGGGGATATAATTCCTAAGCGCGGCCGAAGGCCGCCTACGCAGAAGGAAGTTCTGCGCAAAAATACTTCCGGTCCCCTTTTCCGGCAACACAGTAAGGAGAGTTCTACTTAGTAAGGGTTATAATCCCTAAGCGCGGCCGAAGGCCGCCTACGCAGAAAGAAGTTCGTTTTCATGTATGCACTGTTTCGGTTTTTGTCATATGCATTATTTCGGTAATGAGTCGAAACTGTGCATGTATGCATTAGTTCGGTTTTCAAACGAAAGTGTGCATGTATGCATTATTTCGGGTTCTTCATATGCGTTATTTCGGTTTTCAACCGAAACTGTGCATATATACATTATTTCGTTTTTGTTCATATGCATTATTTCGGTTTTCAAACGAAAGAGTGCATGTGCATAATTTCGGTTTTTCTAATATTCATTATTGCGGTTTTCAACCGAAACTGTTAATATATGCATTATTTGGGTTTTTTTCGTATGCATTATTTCGTTGTTTTTCAAATGCATTATTTCGTATGCACAGTTTCCATATGCACAATTTCAGGGTGCCAAAGACAAGAACTCACATAATTTCTTCTTCTTTCAACAGCGGCGCTAGATTCGAGTTAATTCATGAGTTGATTCTTGCAACCCCTTAGCAGCAAGCAGCAAAAGTCTGTGTCAAATACAATAACAACACACCCCAAAAAAGAAATGAAAGGAGGGAAAGGAGAGGAATAAGTAAAGTATGTAGCAGTTCCAACACTAAAACAGCTGGCATTTATCTTGATACGCTTTCTTGCAAAATATATACATGGGATTAGACGTTGCATATTCTGCGTTTTGTCCTTGTGTGTTTGCAAGTTATGCAATCTGTGCAACGTGCAAGGGCTTTGCAAGATTTCGAGAATACCCCTAATATGTATTTCATATCATAAAATGTCATTTTTTAATTGTGCATATCTTTGACATTTGCATCATTTCGAGAGAGCATACTTAAAATGCTAACAAACGTCAAAAAACCCAATGGGGGACGAATTGAGCGAGCGGTTGTAACTTTAGATGTTTTTATCAAGCACGAATGTAAGTTGTATACTTATACATATGAACATACGTAAGCATACATTACATACAATTAAAATCGGCTGAGAAAAATTACTTACCACTTAGCAAGTCTGACATAGTTACATCATGAACTTCGAAGTTAGCTTTTATCAAGGATGCCATCATTTCTCGGTCGCTATTGACACCTTCTTCGCGTATTACAGCAACCGTTACAACCTTCGTTGGCCGATACACAGTCAGTTCCACATTAAAATCAACATTGCAGTGGTAACGTGGAGCGAAACGATAATTCAGGGAGTTATATTCTTCTAGGGCACAATCTGGATTAGCTTGCAACTTTTCTATTTCAAAGCTGGTTCTTTCCCATTGTTTCAACAGTGTTTGCACATCGCTTTGAAGTATGATGTCGGAATGATTTTTTATGCTAATAGTAGATTTTAGACCATGGCCAGATGTTACTCCTAAATGGTAGTTAGGTACGCCACTATAATTGTATGAGGCTTGCACTTCAGGTAGTATGCTCATTGGTACTTCAATAACCCAGCCACACTCTTCAGCATATAAGATAGCTAATTCTGGTTTACCAATATCTTCTGCGGCTTTATCGATGTGGGCATCCTTCAACTGATCCATTATATTGCTTAAATCAACTTGAATTCCACTCAAACCCCCAAATGACATTTCCAATAGGCATATTAAGAGACCACCATCACTGATATCGTGGCCAGCAAGGATTTTTCGTTGTTGCAATAAATTTTGAGTAGTAACAAATGCTTTCTCCAGAATATCACTTCGTAACACTGTCGGACACTCGTCGCCCTGCTGAGAGTACGCTTGAGCTAGTGCAGATCCTCCCAAACGAAACTTGCCTTCGATATTTACCCAAACAAGTGCCGTTTGCTGAGATATCGCGGGGCCCTTTAAATCCGGTGTGACTTTCACGGTAATATCTGGACAAGGTGCGTACGTCGAAATAACGAGAGTGCCTGGCGATTTTACAGTTTTGTCGCGGATTTTCGCAGCCATAGAAAGTGAGTCCTTTCCTCCATCGATTGCTATGCGCAATTCTTTCATAATGTCACACATTTCCTTGCATGCGTCATATAATCGGGCGCCCTCTCCCGGCAATTTCGCTGCCCACATCCAGTTTCCTGAGCATTTTACGTCCGCCAACTCGGTAATTTTTACAAACACTAAATTGGAAAGTGCCTCAGCTACGCACATACGCGCCATAGCAGCTGAGCTTAAAAGACCTTTTATAGGCTGCGTGCCAATCGAAGTTGCAATACCTTCATTACCAAAGTACGAAACTGCAGTCAAACCGTAGTCAGCTAAGGGTATCTGTAAAGGCCCTACGCACTGTTGCTGCGCTACAAGACCTGTAACACACCGGTCAACCTTGTTGGTAAGAAAACGTTTGCTCCCAACCGACAGTTGGCGTAAAACACACTTCAAGCAATAGTCTTTATCGAAATTTCGATTTAACAATAACGGCTTCAGCCTTTTTTGAATACGCTCCAATTTATATTCTCGTTTTGGCATTTCCCCAAGCACATGCTTTAGCTCCAAATCGAATGGAATGGCGCCCAATGAATTAAAGTCATTAACCAATTTCAGAGCCCGTTCAAATTGGGCTGCACTTTCGACCAAAGTCACTTTTCCATTTCCAGTAACAACGCCTACGAAGCTGATTGGGCAACGCTCTCGTAAGCAAACTTCTTCCAGTAACTTACGACGTTCAGGTTTGCAGAGCAGCGCATTGTTTTCTTGATATTCTGCCCCCCATAACTCTAAGACGTTTATTGTAGGATCGCCTAGCTGAAATTCTTTGGAAAATATAACGGCGCCAGCAAAACCAGGTTCCACTAATTCTTTTAAAACATTACCATTACCTCCAGCACCCTACCCAGATTTTTAAGTAAAAAGCGAAATTATAATTGAGCAGATCTACGTTATCAATTAACATTTTACCTGGTCGTGTATTGCCAAGATCGGATTCTCGTCTCCCATTTCAACGCAAGCGCGCACAACACGATTTAGTTTGTTCTCCATTTCGGCATCACCTCGTTGAACCGCATTAAAATCGAAAGCAGAGTCGCTTGAACCTTGTACTTCTACAGAGCTGGCAGCTCCTCCACCAACTCCGATTCGATATACTGGTCCACCTATTTTCACCAGCAACATTCCTACGAATTTTAGTTGTAGTAAATGTAAACATTTTTACTAATTTAATTACCTCTTTCCGGATGATGTTTTTGACGCATTCTTGAATCCATAATGCCCATTCCGCCACTAAACATTATAGGTTTAACATATTCTTGGCGTTCACCATTAGAATCTTGAAGACCATAAGAAATTGCGAACCCGGTAATTACAGGCTCACCAAACTTGTTGCCATAATCGGAAGCGCCATTGCTTGCGTCAATTAGAACTTTAAGTGGTTTTGCAAAAGAATTAGGATATTCGAAATTGTTTTGCTCGTAAGGTTGTGCGTACCCTGTGATCAATATTTAGAAATAAGAATAAATTAATTATGCATAAAAATACGTATAACATTTATAGCTCAATTCTGTATCGGTGTCAAAAAATTGTTTATTGACAAATTTAAACTTTTTCATATATTTTTCCGTAATGAAAACTGTGGCAAGAATTTGCCACTGATATAGAATAGAGCCGTTAAACTAAATTCAAACGCAAATATGTCCATACATAAATTTAATACTACACAAAGCTTAAATTAGTTGTGACATATCATAACGCCATAAGGCTCAGTTATGCATACTGTGCACTGCACTGCATAGCATGTAATTTTACGTAGAAATCAAAAATCAACAGACTTTTACATATGTAATGCTGCATGGGCGTACGCAGGTACGGGATGGGGGGCGAAAGCGCCCCTCCCCCCTTAATTCCAAAGTTTCATTGTAAGTTTCTTTCTATGAATTCATAATCAATTTCCAATTAAAAAAATGTATCCAATTAATTAAAACTTTGGGTGTCTCCACATCCATTTCGGTAGTTTTGGTAAACTCCTGGTTGTTCCTCGATAATTTTATCAACCGTGAACGTCCTTTTCAGCTTAGGTTTGTTAGTCTGCTAAACAGTCATTTATTTAAATAAAAGGTAAAATAATTATTATCTTTTAATATTTTCTATTAGTTTGTATTTGAATTTAGGTTTAGATATGCTTGGCGTTCACAGAGGTTTTGTAAAAAAACAAAGTTTTTAGCAAACAACAAAACTGACTTCAATTCTCATGTAAAACTTTACCGTTAATTCTTTCATGGTCCAATAATCGGATCTAAACCAAATTAAGACGGGACCACCTCTGGTTTTGGTTTCTATATACAGGAGTGTGCTCTGGTGAAGTCCAAGACCTTGTTTTAGACCCAGTGTGCATCCACAGGCCTCAGGCATCCCCTACTAAGAAGTATTTGCGGTGGTGGGTGCGGTTTTCATCTGCTTTGTACCTCCTTTGTAACTTTTCCCACCGTATGAAATCTCGTTAGTGCCGAAGCTTTAATCGAGGCGAAGGGGCTGGATCAAATTGGCATTTTTTTAGAAACTCTGTAGTCCTGTTTTAGGGGTGTTGAAGTTGAAGTTTTTCCTTTGCATCTATAACGCTTTCCTCGAGTGGTAGAAAAGGGGGTCGCCCGCCCATGAAAAGAACCGCTGTAACAGATAAAACTTAATAGCTCGATATATCGCCTAGTACGCGAAGCACTTCGCTCGAGAAGAGGCCTTGAATAACTCTGGCTAGCCACGGGTTATATAATCATATAAGCAGTAATTGGGTTTTCACAACAGAGGATGCAAAAACCCAAACGACTTGACGGTTTGAGATATTGAGTAAGTGCAGCCCGATCACCTCATCAGTGGAGTGTATTTTTGTCTCCTTTCATATAAGGAACTTCAAATGTTTTGCTGTTTTGGCCGATACCAAACAGCTTCGTCAACTGCCTCTTTTTCTTTGCGAAGTTGTTATAATTGATCATAGGAAGACAGGAGGAGGAGAACAGGTCCTTCTTCTTTTGATGCTTCTATAGTGTTCGTTCGCGCCATTGCTTTTACTCTCACCCAAGGAGGCCGAATCGAAGTTTATTTCAACGTAGCGTCAGGCTCATACAGTTATTTCTCTACGTGCCCCGGTTTATGCGCTGTATAAAAAGGACTGGCGTCATGAGGGATTGGTAGAGCGTGATATTTGTACGTCGAGAGGTGCCTCTGCGTTTCAATTGCCTGGGAAAAAATCTATGTAAACATTGCAAAAAATTTAAAACCATATATGTATATATTGCATGAAATAATAAATTTTGTGTTAGGCGCCTAATAAAAACTTGTTTACGAACATTCACACTAAAAAAAGACAGTAATATCCCTCCTCTAGTTTTATATTTGGTCTTTTGAATTATATTTACTTTTATTTTTTTTGTATATACATATTTTTGATCAAATATTTGAAGAAATAAAACATCCTTCTTGTATTATATACAAATGCATGTCCGAATTTTTGTATACCTTAAACCGTTTTGACCGTCTACAGACGGTCGAAATGTTTTTACACCTAGCGTACGTATTTTTACAGGTAAATTGAAACTGAGTTTGGAACATTGCTCAGAGTTGCCTAATTACCAACATCTAAAATTATGGGTGATTTAAAATCATTATTTAAAAAAAATGGTTGGAGGGTTAAGGTAACTAAAAAATTAATATTTTCACTCATCAATAAGTTCATAATAAACTTTATACTGTGTCTCCACTGAGAGATTTACCTATTAAGATTTAATAAATCCCGTTGCTAAATCACAATCGTCTCCATTGCTACAACGAGATATATTTGACGTTCACATTTTTAAATATTTGACGTTTGGTTATGTATGATTTTATAAATACATCTGCGGACATGGAAATACAGACCGATAAAAGAAAGGTACCAGGAGCGGAATTTCATTATGCGAATTATGTGAATATTATTGCCTTCTTATTTGTGGTAAATATGTCTAATATATAGTTTGAAAAATGTAATACATGGTATCGTATTCAATTGCAGTGGTACCAATAGCAATATTTTTACAGAGATGCATGGAAAGCATATTGGGGGAATTAAAACTCTATTAATATAATTTTGGGAGCAAGTAAAAAATAGGGCCCGTTGAGCTAAAAAAAAGAAAAAGTGAGCATGGCCGGCGGGCCATGATTTTAATGGAATAAATTTTTTTTGTGCAAATTCATAGGACTGGTGCTAGGGAGGGTAAACGTGAAATTTTCAATATTTTCAAAAGCTTATATTTTGAAAAGTTTTGAACCAATTTTCAAAGTATGGATATGGTTGGAAAGGTAATTAAAAGTCGTTTGATTTAATATTTAAATAAAAAATATTTTATTAAAAGTTTGTTTTCCTTAAAACATACGTAATTAACTATATTAAAAGATATGCAAAAGATAAGAAAAAATACAGAAACACCTTTAAACATATGATTTATAATAAAAAAAATTTTTGGTAATATCACTAAATATTGAAACATAATTTTATATGTTAAAAGAAAAAACGCTCATTCGCAGGCGAACATTTGGAAGAAAATATCGCGCTATTTTTTATTCAAAATTTTCATTTTATATTAAAATATCAATGCAGTTGTTTTATTTCGCTGTAGGAGTTGTCCTTAAACCTAACTATATAAAATGATATATCAAATTAAAGATATTGTTATGCTCTTTCTAGTAAATATATCGTTCGATATATGTAGTTAACTACGTATTTTTCTTTTAAATAAAAACATACGTATTTTATTTACATATTTTGGCAGATATTGTATTGAAAATTAGGTCAAACTGCAAAGAGCTTTAGTGTCGACTTAATTTGGACTACAAATATACCCCAATAAGTACGCTAACGTCAAAGCTGTGAAGCTGTGTTTATTGTGATCTGTTTAAATTTTGTGTTTTATAAAGCTGTTTACGCTTAATAAAGTAAAAAATTAAAAAAAGTGTGAATAAACTTCTGATGCGCAATTTAAAAATAAGTAAAATATCAAAATTTCCTGTAAATTTGATTAATTTAACTTGATATTCTTAATTGCATGTGTCGAGTACTTTGTTTAAAATAATATATTGTTGTTGTACAATTGTTTTAGTTTGTGCAAATTGATTTTACTCTTTTTGTCATTTCTGCTGTTTCATCTTTGTCACAGCTGCTTGCGTTGTGTTTATTAGGTGTCAAATATACAGTGTATTTAAAACTGTTCGCTACATAGCTTGCCAACTGATATTTACCAGCTGATTGGTTCTCTGATTGAAACACCGTTTTCAAAACTGTTTTGCTTTTTTGCTTCTGCAGCCTATAAATAAATATAATTTTAAACATGTCGTGTATTTACACCAATTGCCACGTTAAAAGCGACTCCTATATATCATGCTGGCTCTGCGATGGGATTGCCCATATAAAATGTGCTGGTTTGAGCGGTAGGGTGTTAGACGCTATTAATGAGGGAAAGGCTCTTCGTTGGACTTGTCATAAATGTAGATCAACCGAAGTTGATTTATTTAAATTCTTTAGGCAGTCCAGAAATGGTTTTTCTGAGATCGGGAAGGATCTGTCGGTGCTTGTTTAGAAATTTAAGCATTACGAAAAAAAATGTTTAGGTCTTCACATGTCTCGACAACCCTCCACACTCTGAGGATAGCCGAGAAAATAAAGGTGGGCGTGTTATTAGTCCACTTAAAAAGATAGCCACTGAATCTAGTTAGAAAAATCCTTCATCCCAGTCCTGGGAACTTATTAATCTTTCTTCTCCATGCCCTCAGGCATTGGAGCCTCCGCTATCTAAAGCCATATCCACTAGGTCTATATCTAAAAATAATCAAACCGGCGATTTAACAGTGTTGCCATCAACATCTAAAGCTGCACTGTCTAACTTAGTTCCTCCGAATAATTCGGAATCCGGCATATCGGACATCATTACCAAAAAGTTGGTTGTAATTCCTCCGAGAAGATCAATCTTTGTCTCTAGATATGCTAAAGACACTTCTTCGGATGATATAATTAAAATTTAATTTTAAATACGATCGCGATATTTCGTCTTTTAAAATTGCTGTAGCTGCCGAAGATTTTGATTCACTACTAAATAATTCATTTTGGCCGACCGGGGCGTTTGTTCGCGAGTTTGAGTATAAACCTAATAAAACTAATAACAACGTAGCTAAATTTTCTAATCTTAATTCTAATTCAAAAAACTAACTCGCAAGTCTAATTTAAATATTTACTATATTATATTTAAAAGGTTTTGACTGCAATTATAATATTATTTCCTTGACCGAAACATGGCTCAAACCTCATATTTTTAATTCCGAAATTCTTCCAAATGAATATCAAATATACAGTAGTGACCACGAGGGCAGAATCGGCGGTGGTGTTCTTTTTGCGGTGCATTCATCGATACCATCCGAGGAATTTAGTGTTCCTATCATTGAATATACCGAATTTAAATGTATACGTGT